AACAATGCCTTATAGCTCTTTATACTTGTCGAGTTGCTCAGCACGCAGAAACACCCTGGTCTAGGCATTCTGGGATGCAGCGGCTTGCTCTGGCTGCACATTTGCTGCCACCTAGAAAACAAGGATCTCTTCCCGGAGGTTGCTGCGGGCCCTCTCTGACATTCTGAGGGACGTCACTCACAGCTGAGCCACGGGTGGTACTTTACCAGTCAGCTGGTAGTTCAAAAGGGCTAAGGAAAGCCAATATACTATTGGGCCTCAAAGCAGCAAATACACAGACTCTACAAAGGCAACTCTCTCTAGCTCTCCTAGCTTATCCAGTCTGGTTCTTCATTCTGTAAAAGTGGGATAACTACTGACTGTGACACAAACAGCTATCATATGCAAAATCCATCTAGAACACTGGTTCTCAACCTGTGGGTCATGGCCCCTTTGGGGGTCAAACGACCCTTTCACAGGGTCGCCCAATTCATAACAGTAGCAAAAGTACAATTATGAAGTAGCAATGAAAATAATTTTATGGTTGGGGTCGCCACAACATGAGGAACCGTCTTAAAGGGTCATGGCATTAAGAAGGTTGAGAACCACTGATCCAGAAGCTTTGAAGTGGTATCTAGCATGTATTGGAATGCTATGAACATCCATTTCCCTTAAGTGCTCGGTTCCCAATTGAAAAAGTAAACAAGCGGAATATGTTTTAAAAAGGAAACCCAAAACCAAAACCAAACTCATGCCAGCAAGTCAATTCTGACTCAGTGACCCTGTAAAACAGAGTAGAACTGTCCTGGTTTCTGAGGTTTCAATTCTTTAAAAGAGCCGGAAGCCTCATCTTTCTACAGCCAAGGGGCTGGTGGCTTCAAACTGCTGACCTTGTGGTTAGCAGTCCAAGGCATAATCCACTATGCCACCATGACTCCTTGTTGATATCAGATGTCTATTTTTGATTTTGTCTTAAGTCAGTCGTTCTTCATATAAGAAAAGCTTTTATAAGAACTTTATACTCCAAAAGGGTCTGTTCCTTAAAACATAAAGATGGTGTGTTTTATTCACATATACACGGATGTAGTGTGAACCTCTCAACATCTCTGTTCAAACAGGCAGACCAGCTGAAGTACTGTAGCCTAGTCACCCTAGCTATCAGCATCAGACCCAGAGATTAGAGCAAGACACACAGAGGTATAAGGCCAAAACAACAACCAGTGCTGACAGAGACAAAAAAGAAATGGAAGCGGAGAAAGGCAAGAGAATGGGGGCGGGGTAGGCAAAGTGAGAATGTGTAAGGAAATAAGAAGAATAAGAAAGTGAGTATGTGCGTGTAAAACAGTGACAGAGAAGAGCGTGTAAGAATAAGGGAGTCGTGAGGGAACAGGAAACAGTGAAGGAATAAGCAGGCCTAAGGTCAAGAGAGTGGCTGTGGTCACTGCGCATATGTATAGGAATCCGGTGCACAGCAGTCATGGGTGGGTGGTGGGGAAGAGACGTTGAGGAGATGCTAAAAGGGATAAACTTCAAGTAGAGAAGAGCAGCTTCCCACACAGGAAAGAGAAAGGGGTGAGGAGAGAGAAGCTGAAAGAGACTCACTGGCACTGGGAAGCTGCATGAAGGTCGTTAAGATGTCATCAAAACTTACCTGCCTCCATTACTTTTTAAAGGTCAGAAACCTACCTGAATGATCTCTGATTGTTCAGCCAGGGCCTTCCTTTGTGCCTCCAGAGAAGACACCTGTTGCTGATAAATCAAGCGTTGCTTCTCCCAGTCCAGTGATTTCTGACGAAATTCCTGAAGAGGCAATTAAGGTACTTAACTTGAGTGTGTGTCCCTTATTGTCACTGCTTCCCAGAGCCACTTTTACTTTCATCTTTCTCCATGTCCCTGGGTACACACGCACTTTTCTCCCCAGCAGGAATCCCATTACTTACTTATCTGATAGAACTGCAGCCCGATACAGAATTCCTTACATACTGTGCTTCTTGGATATCTGTCTTTCTAAATTTAATACCCTCCCAGTGAAGAGTGAAGCACAGGTGCTTAAGTCTGCGTTCAAGGTGATTTTCATAGATTTGCTGCCACCGAAGGGTTGCTATGATTTTCTAGTGATTTTTCTCAAATTGATGGCAAGATAACTATAATGTCAAAATGTGATTACAGATAATCCCTTGCTATCTACATTCTTGAGATCCAAACCTAAGTACGAGGCAGATCCGAATATATTTTCAGATACATTACTTGGTAGCCCAATTCTTACTCCTCAGTATCTAAAATTCAAACATGGATTATACAATGGCATGGATAATATAATGTCCCCTCTCCACCCACATGTTTGCTATCTCAGTAGAAGAACTGTAAGGACTGAAATAAGAAGGGAGCATTGTATTACATTTTATAATACTGTAACCCAAAGTCGAGCAATTAGAAATATCTCAACAGTAACTTCAAGTTGCACGATCAAGAAGCGAGTGCAATCGTTATGACAACGGGGCAAAGTGAAGGAAAATGAGACTCAGTTCACCAGTGCCCACTAGCACTCCAACCCCAGACCTCCCCTCTTCTTCTGGGCACTACTCTCAGGTTTCTGATACTCATGCATACTCATTTGTTCATTCGTCCATCTCGCCTACTATATGCCAGTATTCCTTGGGGCAAGGATACTACATTTAACAAAACAAAATCCCCCTCCTCAATTGGAGGGCAATAGACAACACACTCATTATAGTACATCAAATGGCAATAGGTATTTGGAGAAAATGGAACATGCTGTGGTCAAGTTGGAGGTTGCCATTTTGAGAAGGGATGGTCACAGGGAGGAAATGACATTTAAAACGACACCTGAACATGGGGGCAAAGTCACACTGTTCTAGACAGTGAGCAGGGCATCTAGTGGACGCATTCTGGTGTGGTTTGGGAAAAGCCGTGAGGGTAGTATGGCTGGAGCGGCGTGGGTATCAGGGAAATTAGGAAGAGACACAGCTAGAGAGTTAGGGAGCTAGACTGTAAAGTCTCATAGCAACTCCAAGTGACATAGCAGAACCCCACATGCTATTCCTGGCTGTCATCTTTTCATGAGAAGAAACTTTAATATTAAATAATGTTATAGTTAAACAGAATCATTCTGGCTGTTGTGTGAGAAAAGAAAACTCAAGGGTGACTCCCACATTTTAGGCTTGAGTGAGCTAACGAATGGAGCTACATCTTCTGCAACAGGAACGAGAAGTCTGGTGTTGACAGGGAAGAGAAAGTCAGACCTGGGTTTTGGATCTGCCAAGTCTGAGACAGTCGTAGACACACCCAGTATAGGGGTAAAACAGGCCGTGGGAATTACTCTGTGCTGGAGAGGTGAGGACGAGATAGATACAGCTGGAAATCATCACTACATCCCGTGTTGGAAGCTAAGGGACTAAATGAGATCACTCACAGAGCGAACACACATAGGACAGAGCCAAGAAATGCAATTCTTCTTGAAGTCACGTCAAGACTGTGTTTTTACGCAGCAGAAAGACTGGCTGGTCAAACACTGGAGAGAAATGCTTGGTTTGGGTGAAGTGGCGATCCTTGGTGTGGCCACGTAAACAGCTTCTTTACATAAGGAAGCACGAGCCAGACTGGAATGAGCACAGGAAGGGCTGGGAGAAAAGGAACTGAAGACATGTTCAGCTGTCTGGTTATAAAATGAAGGAGAAAATAAGACAGCAGCCAGAAGAAAGTGCACTCAGAGAGAAAATCAAGAGGGGGAAGTTTGCTGGCGTGCCGTCTTGAGTAGGGGAAGCGGAAAGCTCATGAGCACGACCCCGGGGGGAAGGGGAGTAAACGAATAGCGATGCAGACAGTTGGGTAGGCACAGTGGTGAGAGTTTATGAACCTTCTCCTCTCAGTGCTTCAGTTGTCTTAGAGCAGGGGTCCTCAAACTTTTTAAAAAGGGGGTCAGTTCACTGTCCCTCAGACCCGTTGGAGGGCAGGATTATAGTTTAAAAAAAACTATGAACAAATTCCTATGCACACTGCACATCTTATTTTGAAGTAAAAAAACAAATGGGGCAAAAACACCTGGTGGGCCAGATAAATGTCCTCGGCGGCCGTAGTTTAAGGACACCTGTCTTAGAGAAACAGAAAGCTAGATTAACACCAAAGGTCAGGATGTGGGGAAGGACTGAGCATTTGAGGAGCAACAAGGATGCTTGAAACAGTCACTGGGAACCGTGGGAGACTGGCAGGAGATGCACTGTAGTTCTGGGCAGCAATCGGAACCATGGCTGCTGCTGTGGCTGGGTGCTGGTGCGTCCACTCCAAATGCATGGCTGTGTTGGCCTAGTCATGTTCAGTCTCATGCAGAGCAGCGAGTGGGTGGGAAACTATATTTAACTAAGGTTGTGCTTCTGCCAACAAGTATGATGAAGAAAAAAACTGATCATGGAAGAGAAGTTGGCTAAGTATTGCTAAGTGAGGTCATGCAGCAGTAAAATTTGGCAAAAGTCATGGTTTGTAGCTCCTGCTGGGATAAAATGACTACTTAGTGCAGTCAGTCAGTGAGGGGGTGCCAGTGTCTGGACAAGCCTAAGAAATGGCGAAGGAAATAAGTAGCTGACACATGGAGGCCCAGAGAGGAAAGAAGGCCAAGGAACCCCAAAGTCAGCATGAAACCCTATGGACTCTTAGAGTGATACTGAGGAGAGTGGCAACGAGCAGGGAGCTAGAATCTCTTCGGTCAGGAAGTAACCCTGGGATAGCAAAATGGCTCTGTCATGTAGGGATTGTTGGAGAATTGCCTGACGACATGAAATGCAAACATGGGGTTTTGAAGTAGAAAGAAAAGGACAGTGTGGCAGTGGTTTGAAAAAAAAAAAAAGCAAGAAGAACATGGGTGATTTAGGGGGGAAACAGATTACTAATAGGGCTGGAGGAGAAACATAATCTGTGCAGTTCTCAGAGTCAAATGCAATTTCAAATAAAACAGCAAGATGTAAAGAGAATCTGTCGAGTCAGTTCCAATTCATAGCAGCCTTATAGGCCAGAGAAAAATGGCCGCATAGGGTTTTCAAAACTGTCTATCTTTATAGAAGCAGACTGCCACATCTTTTTCCCTCAGAGTGGTTGGTAGGTTCAAACCAGCAAGCTTTTGGTTACCAGGAGAATACTTAATCACTGAGCCACTAGAACACATCAATGCTATGTACAACAGTGCGATCTACTGCCTGGTCCTGCGCCATCCTTCGAATTGCTGTTATTTTTGAGCCCACCCATTACTCCAGTCAATGTGTCAATCATCGCTACACTGTATGAATATTTGGGCATTTGAGGGTGGCAGGCTGCCCTCAGAAGAACAATTTTAAGTAATCGTACAAACATGTTGAATATTTCTCAAATTAGAATGTGAGAGCTGATGAAATACAGATTTCCAGGTCCTACATCGTAACTACGGCACAGAACCTCTGGGAGCCTGAAAAGCACCCTGATTTGCATGCACACAGGAGAAGTGCTGGTGCAGACAAAAGAAAGAAGTGCCAGATTCAGGGAAAATGTGACAGCCTTATGCTGCTCCTTCATGTTTTCGGTAGTAATACTTCAGTGCCTTCCTTAACTCCTCCAAGGAATCAATATACATAAGTTTGTCCTCATAGAAACCAAGCCAGCAGAAAGGGAAGTGGATGGCTACATAGATCAGAATGGGAAATGAGGATAAGCAATCTTATACAAAAGATTACCAACCCAAATGTGGTAAAGAAAGCTGATGGTGCCCGGCTATCAAGAGATATAGCGTCTGGGGTCTTAAAAGCTTGAAGGTAAACAAGTGCCATCTAGCTCAGAAGCAACAAAGTCCACATGGAAGAAACACACCAGCCTGTGTGATCACGAGGTGTCGAAGGGATCAGGTATCAGGCACCATCAGAACAAAAACATCATATCATAGTGAATGAGGGGGGCAATGCAGAGTGGAGACCCAAAGCTCATTAGTAGGCCACTAGACATCCCCTTACAGAAAGGTCTCGGGGAGGAGATGAGCCAGTCAGGGTGCAGTGTAGCAACAATGAAACATACAACTTTCCTCTAGTTCCTAAATGCTTCCTCCTCCCCCACTATCATAATCCCAATTCTACCTTACAAATGTGGCTAGACCAGAGGATGTATATACACTGGTACAGATAGGAACTGGAAACATGGGGAATCCAGGGTGGATGATCCCTTCAGGACCAATGGTGTGAGTGGCGATACTGGGAGGGTGGAGGGAGGGTGGGCTGGAAAGGGGGAACCAATTACAAGGATCTACATGTGACCTCCTCCCTGGAGGATGGACAACAGAAGAGTGGGTGGGTGAGGGGAGACGTCGGGCAGGGCAAGATATGACAAAATAATAATTTATAAATTATCAAAGATTCATGAGGGAGGGGGCAGTAGGGAGGGAGGAGAAAAATGAGGAGCTGATGCCAGGGGCTTAGGTGGAGAGCAAATGTTTGAGAATTTTAAGGGCAATGAATGTACAAATGTGCTTTACACAATTGATGTGTGTATGGATTGTGATAAGAGTTGTATGGGCCCCTAATAAAAACATTTTTAAAGATTACCAACCCATTGCTCTCAGGTTAATTCTGACTCATAGGGACCTCACAGGGCAGAGTGGAACTACTCCAGAGGGGTATCCAAGGCTGTGATCTTGATGGAAGTGAGCTGTCTTATCTTTCCAGAGGAGCAGCTGGTGGATTCAAACAGCCGACCTTTTGGTTAGCAACTAAGCACTTGGCCACTGCAGCACCAAGGCTTTCTAAAAAAACGCGATCACATACTTTCAACATTTACAGAACCCCTACTCTGTTAGGTGCCTGAAATATAATGATTTTTTAAAAAATTAAAAACAAGGACACTGCCCATGGTAATTGATGATTCTCCCTGGGTGAGATACTGACATTTTGGTTGGGATCATTCCCAAGCATGGTAAGCAACGCCAGTCCCTGCCCCTTAAATGCCAGTTGCACCTCTAGCCATTTGACAACCCGAAAAATGTGTCCATACGTTTCTAAATGCTCTCTCGGGGTGGGACTGCCTTTATAGCCAGTACCGCCATGAACCCCAGGGAGCCTGATGATGGTAGGATGCACAGTGGATCATCCACCCACCTTTGAAATCACTCAGTAGCAGACCTGGAGATGGGAGAAAATTGGTTTTAGGAAATAGCACTATTAGTAACAGCATTTTCCTACATGAAGGCTGGCAATCACTATGAACAAATTACTTCTATGAACATACCTCTATTTTTCCAGTTAACCTCTCAATTTCACAGCGATCCTCCCTGAGACTTTTGGTATTTCCTCTGGAGTCCCTTACTTGCTTCTTTTGGAGCTTTTCATAGTTTCTCTTCAGTCTGCCTAACTATAGAGACGGTTATTGCGACAGTTACAATTTAAGAATTTGTAAACAGTGGTGATAGGACAAATTGTTATAAAAGCAAAAGCAGGTACTAAGTAGTACTATTAAAAAATATACTGAGAACATGTTGAATTTACAAACTAAAATATAAAACAAAACTAAAACTACATACAGAAAATAAAGCCTCGCTAAGAAATATACCGAGTAGAGGAAAAAACATTTTTTAACCAAACCTTTTTACGACAACAGCCTTACCTTGAAGAACCTTCCTCCACCTCTACACAAGTGTATGCACGGCGCGCGCGCACCACACACACACACACACACACACACACACACACACAGTGATTAAAAACTCCTCTGGGCCTGAGGTTCTTAATGCATGCTCATGTGGAATACTGACTGATATTCAATAAGCAGGAAATTAATAAATTGGAATTAAAATAAAATAACAGGAGTGTCACCAAATCTGAAGAATGAAATTCAGTTCATTGATTTTTTTCTTATTTTAGGCTTTTTAATCTCAAAATATGTTTCAAAGCTTTGGATCATTATTTAAAACCCAGACACTGATTTACCTCAAAAATTTTAATTTCAAGTATGTATTTTTCAGTATTACAAAATATAGCTTTTTTTCTTTCAGGTACTCAACCAAGAAACACATTTTAGAATTTCTGTTCTACGTAACATCAAGCATGAAATTACAGTAGCAAGATTTTTTTGTCTGGACTCAAGTACAGAAAAAAATTGATTTCACGCCCAAGCCTCTCACTTTGTAAAGTAGAAAATGGGTCATTAACAAAATTCTCAAAGTGGTAAAGAGAGAGAATTACATAACATACAACAAAATTAAAATCTCACTTCTTCGTGCAGTTTCATTAACTCTTGTTTATATTCCATGGCCATTTCTTGCTTGACTTTTTCATGTTCTTCTACCTGCTGGCGCAATATTCCAACCTAAAAGCAGAGAGGTGGTATAGCACTTTTCATTATTTGCACTGAAACAATATCCCTGAAACATTAAAAATAGGAATACTCTTTATACTTATCCATAAGCACAAGCTCTCAAATTATGTATGTTAGGACTCCACTCTTCAGGAAGTCAAATATCTAGCTACCGAATAACCCAAAACACTGCCACCCAAAAAAATACATGGAGAAAATTGTCCTAAAATTCCCAGTTGAGGTAGAAACTTGCTCATTGCCTTGATTCATCTTCCCCAATGCTTTCCATCAAATATCTCATGAAAAAGTAAAAGGTTTAAAGAATCTTTGGAACTAGTAAGACAAAACTATAAAAATGTACTAGACCACAAGAATAATGGTCATAAATCAAAGCGCAGAATCGCACGACGAGCCGAAGACAAGAGGAGCTTTAGTCGCTTTAACGCTTGCACTGTTCAGGGACAGCAGCTCCCCCATCGCGCAGCAAGTCACGCTGACCTGTACTCGGTGGTTTCATACCGGCCATCAATATTTCTCTAAACCTCTTGATAACAACTTAAAACTTAATAACGGAGATGAGCAGAGGAAGAGGTAGCGGGGACAGAGACAGGAATCAAAAACAGAACAATTTTTTTTCATCTCTATTTTTTATTTATTTTAAAAATAATTTTATTGGGGGCTCTTACAGCTCTTATCACAATCTATACATACGTACATCATGTCAAGCACATTTGTACATAGGTTGCCATCCTCATTTTCAAAACATTTTCTTTCTACTTGAACCCTTGGTATCAGCTCATTCCCCCCTACCCTCTCTCCCTCATGAGCCCTTGATAATTTATAAATTATTATTATTTTCATGTCTTACACTGACCACTGTCTCCCTTCACCCACTTTCTGTTGATATGTCAATCATTGTGATCGGTTCCCCCTTACTCCCCCCAGGTTCTCCTTCCCCTCCTGGTATTGCTACTCTTCCTATTGGTACTGAGGGGTTTACCTGTCCTGGATTCCTTGTGTTGCAAGCTGTTGTCTGTACCAGTACTCTTGTTCTGGTCTAACTGGATTTATAAGGTAGAATTGGAGTCATGAGAGTATGTGTGTGTGGGGGGCGGGGGGGTGCAGTAGGAGGAAGCATTAAAGAACTAGAGAAAATTTGAAAGTTTTGTCGGTGCTATACTACACCCTGACTGGCTCATCTCTTTCTTATGACCTTTCAGTGAGGGGATGTCCAATTGTCTCCACATGGGCTTTGGGCCTCCACTCCGCCCTCCCCCTCATCACATCGATATGATTTTTTGTTCTAGGTTTAGAACTATAATTTTTAAAATTAGAAATAAATCTCTTATAAGAATAAAATAATAAAATCCCAATAAAAATGCTAAGATTTTTCTTAACTTGAAAAGGTGATCCTGAAAATCAAATCAGAAGAATAAATAAATTAATTTAATGGAAAAGATAAAACTTTAAAAAAAGATTTTAGAAAAGATTTACTTTTAAAAAAGATTTACATCAAATACAAGATCAGCTGTCTACCTATACACCTGCAGTAAACAATCTGAAAAGAAAATTGAGAATTCCATTTACAATAGCATCTAAAAGAATAAAATATCTGAAAATAAATCTAACCAAGAATGTAAAAGACTGTACAATGAAAATTACAAAACATTGCTGAAAGAAATTAACAGAAATCTAAATAAAAGAAAACAAAAATGTGATACTTTTTCACATGCATTATGATGGTTATTATAAAAACAAAAAATTAAGAACTGAGAGTGTTCATGAGGATATGAAATGAGTTGTTGGTTGGAATGTAAAGGTGTATTCACGGTATTAAAAATGTGAACGTCCCTCAAAAAGTTATAGAATTATGATGTTGCCGTTAGGTGCTGTTGAGTAGGTTCTGACTCAATAGGGACCCGTGTCAATAGAAGAAACAGTGCCCAGTCTAGTACCTGCCACACAATTGTCATGTGTGAGCTCACTGTGGCAGCCACCGTATCAATAGAGCTCATTGAGAGGGGTCAGGCTCTCTTTCAGTGAATCAAGCATGATATCATTTCCTAGGAACTGATCCCTCTGGATATTATGTCCAAGTATGTGAGATGAAGTCTCCCTATTCTTGCTTCTCAGAAGCATTCTAGCTGTACATCTTCCCAGACAGATTTGTCTGTCTTGGAATGATCACATGACGCAATAATTGATACACATAGCTACATCCCCCCAAATCTTGAAAACAGAGTACACCAATGGTCAAAGCAGCATCATTCATAACAGCCTTGGAAGAAAACTAAGTAGCCATCAAAAGACACATGGATCATCAAATGAAGTATCTACATACAATAAGAAAGTATTCAACCAAATAAAGAAATGAAGTTCTGATGCACACTATGAAATGGATGGGTCTTAAAACATGCTATGTGAAATAAGTCAGACATCAAAAACAAACAAACAAACGAGCCATTGCTGTTAGGTAGGAAGCTGATTCTGAATCATGAGCCCATGTATTAGAATAGCACTGCTCCGTAAGATTTGCTTGGCAATAAAATCCGTCCCCAAAGAGTAAGGGGAAAAAATCTTCTGGAAAAGCTATTCTAAACGGGCACTAAGAGCAATGATGTAGAATTCACCCTACCAGAAAATGAAACATCATTAACCTAAAGGGGAAAAATGAGAGCTTCAAGTCCCAAGGAACTGTACTATTGATTTTTATGCAACATTGACTAAGTCACTCATCAGTAAATAGAACCGACACTACTAATAAATGAGACCCAAAATGTCCACCAAACATCTAGTCCTTCCTACTATAAGAGCTTTAGAGTAAAAGTAATAAGAAAGTGAAAATAATATGGACTTTATAGATGTTGTTTCAGGACTGTCCCTCAAAGGAATGGAAAGATGAGAGATTTAGCCTCGTCCTTCTACTGCCTTAGCGCTGATGTGGGAGTTGAACTCCCCAAGACTTCTAGGTTCCCCTGAGCAGTTGTCCAGGACTACAGAGAGAGAAGTCAGAGGACGATGGGATGCTAGCAGTGTGCAGGGAAGCCTGTGAGAGCTGGAACTCAACAGAATGGCCTTGTTTTTCTGAGTCTCACAGTTTCCCACCTTTGTTGGATGTATTCTTACTGTATTTCTATAGTTAGTTTTAGTGGAAACTATTAGAATCTGTCTACTCTGACCAGATTCTGCCTTACACAGGTTTCAGCTTTCATAGGCTTTGTTTTATCCAACATGAAATTAGGGGGTCAAAGGGATGTGGTAGAAAACACAAAGTATCTATTACAATTATATGTACTGAAAATTTGTATTTTATCACATTGAAGCATTCACTATTTTAAGTAATGCTCTTTGCTTCATGTATTTTTTTATATGAACATAGCTGTACAAGCTGTAAAGTTTATTCACATATCCTTTCATTTGACCTTTTACTTTCAACCTTCCTGTACCTTTATAAGCACCATATAGTAGAGTTCAATTAACTTTACAGTCCTCTTCCATAAAGATGTATAGTAGTTCTGCTGTCCTATAGGGTGATGATGAATCAGAAATGATTCAGGACCAGTGGTTCTGTTCTGTGGCTTGATCAATTTTTATCTTTTTTTTTTTAACATTTTAT